AATAATATAAATGGTATGTTTTGGGGCTAATAATCGAGTTTTTGAAGCGATTGTTTGCGTGGATAAAGGAATAAGTTTTTTTTATCACAAACCTGTACTTTCTTTGACGCTATTTAAGGCATAATAAGACTATCGACATACAACATTTTGAAATATTTTATGTTGTCAATTATCATGATTTATAGTATTTTTATGATAGATTCACTTCAAGAATCAGTGGATTTTTTTGTATTTTTTTCAAAACATATTTCATATTGTCAATTATCATGATTTATAGTATTTTACACAATTTTTAAATATAAAAAAAATTAAAAAATAAGACAAATAAATTAAAATGGACCCAATGTATATTATTTTTGTTGTCTCAATTTATGTGACACAAATGAAATTTGGGGAGTCATCCAAATTTTCATATTTTTTTTAAAAATATTTTAAGTTATTAATTATTGTGATTTATAATATTTTTATGTAACTTTCAAATAACGTACATTACTGGTCACTTTGTCCTAATTTATGTGATATGGATAAAATTACAAAATTAACCCTTTTAAAATGTCTTTAAGATATTTTAAGTTGTTAATTATTATTATTTATAATACTTTTTTGGTAATTTTAAAATGATATGTGTTATTTTTCTGTCCCAATATATGTGAGCCTGATAGAATTCAGAGAGTCAACGTATTGTATTATATAGCTTTTAAATATTTTAAATTGGTAATTATTGTAATTTTTAATGCTTTTTAAGTCATTTGTAAATGATATATGTTGCTTCCTTGATTGAGACGTTTCCATTTTTGACACATATATATAGATATTTGGTGCCCGTGCCAACACGGGCCCAATAAATATTATTTTTTTTGTTTTAATTTATGTGATATAAATGAAATTTGAAGATCAGTCGATTTTTTATATGTTTTCTTCAAAATATATTTGAAATTATTAAATTGTTGTGATTTATAGTATTTTTGCGTTAGTTTTGAATAATATAAGTTACTCATATTTCAATTCACGTGAATAATCATAAATTTTTTCAGTTGTTAATTTATTGTGAATTCTAGAAATTTTGACATTATTTTCAAATAGTACATGTTACTTATTCTATTCCAATTAGTCAACTAAATTTCTTATATGATTTAAATATATTTTTAATTGCTAATTATTGTAATTTATAGCATCTTTTATGTAACTTTTAATAATATATAATTTGTTCAAATTCATATGACAATGATAAGATTTCAAGAGTCAACGCAATAAAAATTTAATTTTTTAAAAAAGTTGTTCCTCTAATATATTTTGTAGCTAAAATATACTCTCTCCGTCCACTTGTATTTGTCATGTTGCGCTTTTTGAAAGTCCATTTGACTAATTTTCAAAGTTAAATCAGATTGTATTAATTCGATATTTTTAAAAAAATAATTAAATATGCAAAATCTATACAAAAAGTACTATAAATTGTAATTTTTTGCCTATGAATATGATGAAAAAACACATTGTAAAATATTAGTTAAAATTCTTATAATCTGACTCTAAAAAGGAAATCATAACAATTAAAAGTGCATAGAAAGTAATAAATAGGTAATTAAATTTCAAGAAGTTTAAAATAAAATGTTGAAAAAAAGAATTAGATAGACAAACATATATTGAAAATTGAAAAAAATATAAATAATAAATGGGCCCAAATGAGGTCAAACTTTTTGCCTAATAAAGTAGTAGGTAATTTATGGTGTTAAATTGTCCAATAATATAAAATTTTAAGGTACAACCATAAAAGAAGAATGTACAACACTATCAAGCACATATCATCCAACATTTGTCATGTGCTAAGTAGTAGATATTCCCACTTATTATATATAGTAAAACACTTGTCATGCTAAGTAGTAGATATTCCCACTTATTATATACAGTAATATATATACACTACATGAAGGATTTCTAGCGGTAATTAACTAATTGAAATAACTTAATTACCGCTAAATATGTTTTGTTAGTGACATTTAGCATTCTCTGTAAATGTCCATAAAACTGAAAGCGACATTAGATCCAATGACAATTGACTAATGCCGGTAAAAACTTTAACACTCTTTGGTAATGTGCATATTTATTGTCGCTAAAATTTATTTTTGTTATAGTAATATCTCCATCATCTAACAAATGGTTTATATTTTATCCTTTTCGTTAACAAATGGTGATTTGTAGTACTTTTTATGTACTTTCTAAATATGTAATTTTTATTTCATAAGAATCGAAGATTTAATATTCGAATTCACACCAAACATTACATTAGCTAGTTTGATCCTCGTATTTTGAATCAAGCCACATAAAGTGAAACAGAGAGAGTAATTATTTCTTACATATAAGCATATCATAAATGTACAAGAAGGATCGAATACTATAGCTACGTTGCTCGGACTCTTCAAAAATACTACCGAATGTGTGTTAGATACTCCCAAAATAGTGCCTTTTTGAAGAATCTCCACAGGTGCAACAACAGTTTTGGAGAATTCGAGCAACATACAGCGGGTTTAGGTTCTGAATTGTGTCAAAATACTGTTACTGACTAAGCTGTTTCAAGGTTTTAGTTAATGAATTGTTGCAACAACTACTTCTTTCTTGCAAAATCCTCAGCAGCCCTGCTGCATTCATGTAACTCAATCGATTCCAAAGTACAAATTTCGCCAAAATCTATTGGAATTTCTGGTAGGCACTTGCATTTCTTTAGAACAAGGCGTTTTAGATTTGGGAAGCTATCACTGCAAATTTCCCAATGCTCGAGATATATATAGCTAAATAACAACAACTTGAGGCTTTTAAACTTGTTGTCATCACTCAATCTCCACACTTCACTCCCAGGCTGCATTGTCTTTAAGTTTATTTGAGCTCTTCGAGATTTGGCAACATGAGTACAAGAATTGATATGTCTTCCCAAGGAACTTTACATCAGCTAAAAGTTAACCTCTTAAGTGATGTTGAGAAAACGAACCTCTTAGTGGAGAGTGGCTGCCAATACAAGTTTGGGAGCTTATTACTATTGCTGAAACACTTCAATGTGCTTTGAGTTTTGTCAAGCTGGACATATCAATGAGGCGATCGTCCACATGATCCCTCATACTGATACAGCTTACATGGATGATCAATCTCTTTAGAATGGGAATGGCGAAAAACACTTCATTTGTACAATTGCTAAAATACGGAGCAGAAAGTTGTACTAGATTTAGCAACTCTACTGGAAGATGTATATTTCGAGTCGTTTCTCTTCTAGGACTAGGAAAATAGAATCCTCCTATGAATATGCCTCAATTTTTTCATCATCCATATGTTATATCATTATATCTGTCCATACGAATAATTAGAGTTTGCAAATTCTGAAGCTCTGACATTGATGCAGGAAGTTTACCGCAACATCTGATTGAAAGGTATGTCAAATGAAATAAAATCCTCTGCGATCCATAATTGGATCAATCTACAAGTCTCAACCTGAAAATCCTCAGGTAGTCCTTGGCATTTTCTAGCTATTTCCTTTCCAATTTCTTCTAGCTCAAGAGGATGATCATGTTCGGGTCTAAACACCTTTTCACAAAGTAACTTCCAACTGTTATCTAAATTCAAGATGGTCATGTGATGAGGGCTATTAGAATCAGCGTACATCGCTACAGTGTCCCTAGTAGTCAATAAAATTCGACTCCAGATATTTGTCTTATTTCATCCCAAACATCCGTACTCCAAATATCATAAACAACAACAAGGTATCTTCCACCTTTTAGGTTCTTTTGCACCTGCAGGTCGACTAACTCACTGCTATCCTTCTTATCATAATCTTTTCCAATGAAAATATCTGTTTGTTTTGAAATGCAATATAAAGCATCTAATAATATATTTCTACTTCAATATTCTTGAGATATTGTAACCCAAACACGAAGATCAAAATGATACCTGATTGGCAGATGATCATGAGTTTTCCTAGCGAGTGTTGTTTTGCCAATACCACCCATTCCTGATATTGTGACTATGTTTTGATCCGATTGTCGTCCTCTCAGTCTTTCAACTATTATCTCAAAGTCAATCATCAAGTCCCCGCTCGTTAACATCTTCCAAATTTGGCAGCATTGGATTACTTCCGGATAATTCAACATTTTCATCATCATCATCATCAGCAATATCATTAATGCTTGTGATAAATTCAGAAACAGTCTCCGTCACTTCTTTCTTTGTTATATTGACTTTTACAACAACTGGTAGAAAATCGTTGTGTTGTATTGATTTTTTCATCAAGCTTGTGTCTTTCCTCCAAAGATTTGATTTTTTCAGGGTTAAGCATACTCTTATTGCTACTTCTTCAAGAACGTACTTTTCAAAAATATTCAGCAGTAGCACGAAGAAAATCGAGCATTTCAGCAGTTTGACCATGAAAGAGTTCTGGATTTCGTCGATCAAGTGTCTGAAGAAGAGAAATTACAGCACTATAAGCTGCCATAAGTCAATATATATGTCAAATATACTCTGTTTGAGTAGTTTAAAAAACCTCTCAACACTCAAAAAATTCTCTCCATCCATTTTCGTTTGATTAATTAATATACTTTTGTTCTTCTTATGGACAGTTTTTAACTTGAATTAAATAGCACCAAGTTGTTTATTTGATCTGTAGATTGGATCTAGTAAACAAGCATCTTTAGTTACCATGTTCTTTTTAGTCTGTCTCAAAAGAAAATATTACCTTACTATAATTAGAATAATTTAACTTTAAAATTTCTTTTTTATTTTAATGAAATGATTTATAACAACACAAATATCTAAGAATTGTTTTAAACCTCAAGTTTCAAAAGTTTTTTTTTTTCTTAAACACTGTGCCGAGTCAGCGGTGCCGGGACGACGGGAGTACTACATAATGATTCCATAGGGTGACAACAAAGAACTAATGTTCACATTTCAAGTGCTAAACAGGGAACTGAATGTGACATGAGAGAGTTTTAATCAACTATAAAATGATACAACAACAATTTCCATTCAGCAAGGAATTGGAAAAAGACTTTATTCCTGAAAGAAAGAATCAACTTCACAAGACAGGGCTAAGCCAGCGTACACACGACTCTTTCTAAACCCCACTTGTGGAATTACACAGGGACGTGTACCTAGTCAATTCGAGAGAATTGCACAAGTGAAACCATCGCTCACAAGCTTGATAATGGCATCTCGAAACCTATAATAATCCTCAATGGTGTTATAAACTTGATGGGAGATCCTAGCATAACCTGTTATCGGATTTACCTCTCCTTCCAATGGCGCCCTGTAATACATCGGAACCTCAACCTTGAACGAAACTCTCAAATGAGTCCTCAACTTCAAAGCATCTGAATTACCCGAAATCCCTAAACACGCAGGCATTCCCACCATTGCCATGCTCGAACACATTTCTGGTGGAGTCCCTAACTCCGTCCCCCACGCCTTCACCAACATCTCCGCCATTTCAACCACCATATCATGATTCCTTCTCCTTATCCCCTCAATTCCGCCTTCAAACCTGTTCACAAACAACTCAACTACATCTGGAATCACCAATTGTGCACTATAATCCCTCGTCCCAATCCAAGCACTCTCGATTGCCAATCCATTTCCATACTCAACCGATACAACTGGATGATGCAAATCTACCACTTTCTCTGATCTTTTACAGTACAAAAACGCGGCTGAAGGTGGAGTAAAAAACCATTTATGCAAATTACTCGTATAGAAATCAGCTCCAATGTCTACCACATCTATCTCGACATTGCCAATAGCATGAGCACCATCAACGAAAATGAAATCTACGCCTTCATCTCTACACATCTGAACAAGTTCTTTTACAGGTATAACAACACTAGGCATTGAAGTAATATGATCAATCACAGCTAATCTAATTTTCCCCCCATTCATTTTCCCCATTTTAAGAGCTTTATCAAATTCAGTAACAATTTCTTCATTCGAATTCAACGGGAAAGGTAAATGTACCTCAATTACATTTCCCCCAGCGCGTGCAACGTACGCCTGTACTGAACTTTTAACGGAGCCATAAGCGTAATGGAGCATAACGGCTGCGTCGCCGGGACGGAAATCGGAGGTGAAGAAAGACCAGGTTATGTATTGGAGAACGATTGCGGCGGCGGTGGTGGCGTTATCGACGATGGAGATTTCGTCGACGTCGGCGGCGTTGACTAAGTATTGGATTAAGGTACGGGATTTGAGCATCGAGGGTTTCAAGGCGTTGAAGTAGAAGTAATCGGGTTGTTGAAGGAATTGGAGCTGCCACTGTTGTTGGGCGGAGATTATGGATTTCGGGCATGACCCGAAACTGCCGTTGTTGATTCGGGCAATGGTGAGGTCGTGGTGTGAGAACTCCGCCGCGATTTCGGTTTCGGTGATGGGTTTTGCGGTGGTTGATGGGCCGTTTTCATGGCGGAAGTCACCGGAAGACATGGTGGAACTGAGAAGTTTGTTAGAAAGAAGAGGTAATAAACAAACTCTTTCGAGTACGATCAAAATTTCGAATATATCATAAACTATTAAATAAAACAAAAAAAAATAATTCATCAAAATCGAAGTGATCAACTGGAAGTATAATAATATTGTTAGACATTATCGTCATGAATTCGAAGGATAGAATATTAATAAGTTTGTATAGTAATAAATTATTTCATTTAAAAATGCTTGTATGACATTGAAACAGGCCATCATTAATGGAAGAAGTCAAAACTTAGGTATAATTGAAGTAAATAAATTTTTTATATTGAGTATAGTTAAAATAAAGCTGGAAACCACGAAATACCTTTTTTTTTTGTCTGAAAGAACCGGTAAACTTGATAGTTGATGTAGAAATATAATCAAACTCTTTTAATTAATGTTTTCTTGTATGATAATTCAAATCTTACTATCCTCAAAACTGTTCATGTTGATGTATTTATATTCATGTGATATGACTAGTTCCAGAATGGCAAAAGGTGACTTTACTCTTTAATATTATAATTTGGAGATAGTAAGTATGGCCTAGCGATTGATAAAATGAGTCGAGCATCATAAGGTTCAGATAGTTTCCTTGAATGATCAAAAGGGCGATTGTTCGAGAGATGCTCAGCCTGTCAAGAGCCAATCTCATCCATTTGCCAATATGGACGTTGTTATTGTTAATGCCGGACTTCTAATTGACTCATCATATGATAGCGAGGGGGAGAAGGAAGATACGATGTTGGAGGATGTGAATCAGGCACTGTTATCTCCAGTATTCAGATTAACAAACAAGAAATAATAAAAGATGAAAAGAAAAAACAAAAGAACTATCCGAGTCCACAGAACCCATTGTGTTTCCTTAAGAAATTTAATCCCCTCAAGTACCCGAGGTTGTAGATTAATTCCTCCCAAGATAAAACGGATTAACCATTAAAGAAGTAGTGGTAGCTCAAACTTCAATAATTTCAACGAACACAAAATGACAGCAACGAATCACACACACAGACACGATCGATCAATTTTGTTTTGAAAGAAATGTATGCAAGAGAAGGGAAGAATTCGATACAGAAAAATAAGAGAAAACCTCTTTATTTATAGCCAACAAAGGGTAAAAGTCACAACCCTTTTGGAAAAAAGGCAACCTTTTAGAAAGGTCACAACACTTTGAAAAAGGCACAACCTTTCAAACGGTCACAACCCTTTAGAAAGGACACAACCTTTCGTAAAGGTCACAACCCTTCATTTTCTATTCACACCTTTAAAACCCAACAATCCCCCACATGAATAGGGAATGACTATTGTTAAAACATATGCATGAAAAACTGTGTGATTTGTAATTAAGGATTGATTGCCTCTGGATAAGTGGGTTTCCCTTTGAACTTTCCATAGTGAACATATATCGGATATACTCGGTCAATCGGTAGATTTGATATCTTTGAACCGTCGAGCTTTGGTGTATACCTAGACAACATAAGTCACACAATCAACCCTTGAACTGTTTTTGGTTCTCATTGTTTTGTTCCTTTCAGCCATGAACACGTCTTGGTTTATAAGTGCGTAGTGAACTGGCATTACCGGATTCTCCTTGAAGCGGCTTACACTTCACACTTACATAGGTGATTTTTAAATGTGTTATCCCATAGATACACCATTTGATATACCCTGTATCAAACTTAGAAATCATTAAAAAGTCCTAATGCCTTTATCCTTGTTACTGAATATTGTCTTATCATGAGAATGGACCATAAATATATTTTGACAATATTGAACCGTCATTAATGACTTTGTTTGATCTCCTTGAACCTAGATCTTGGGATATCCAGTCTTCTAGGTAGAGTTACCGCCACAATGACTTGTTCTCGGCCATAGTCCCATTCCCTTTGATAATCTATCAACTCCCTCTCTAGTTAGGCCTTTTATAAGTGGATCCGACACATTATCCTTTGACTTTACATAGTCAATTATGATAATTCCACTAGAGAGTAGTTCTCTAACGATATTATGTCTACGTCATATATGACGAGACTTTCCGTTATACATCATGCTACATGCCCTTCCTATTGCAAATTAACTCTCACAATGTATGCATACTGGAGCTAAAAGGTTTGGGCCAAAAATCTTTCAAGAAATTTTGGAGTCATTCAACTTCTTTACTGGCCTTATCTAGAGTGATAAACTCAGATTTCATAGTAGAGCGAGCGATACATCTCTGCTTAAATATTTTCAAGAGACTGCTCCTCCACCAAGAGTAAATACATATCCACTCGTGGATTCTACTTCATTTGACCTGGTGATTCAATTTTCATCACTATATTCTTTCAATACTTTTGAATATTAGTTATAATGCAAAGCAATAGTTTTTTAAGTATGTTTTAAATATTCCAAAACTCTTTTCATTGTCATCCAATGAGTTTGATTGAGATTACTTGTGAACCGATTCAGTTTACTAATAACACATGTTATATCTGATCAGGTACACTTCATGATATATATATTACTTCTCAATACTCTAGCACAATCCAATTGTGAGTCACTTTCGCCTTCATTCTTTTGAAGTACAAATCTCACATTTATTGGAGTCTTGACAATATTGAAATCCAAATGATTGAACTTGTCAAGTACATTTTCAATCACATCAGTAACTTCAATGTCTTTCATATCGAAGTTACTTTCTAGCATATGCTTAGTAGCATTTATGTCAGAAATATCTCTTTTGATGATCAACATGTCATCAACATAAAAACAAACAATGACCTTGTGATTTGGAGTGTCTTTAATGTAAAACATTTATCACATTCTTTAATCTTGAATTCATTTGCCAACATAGTTTGGTCAAACTTCGCATGTCATTATTTGGGCGCTTGTTTTTAGTCCACAGAGTGACTTAACAAGTTTACAGACTTTCTTTTCTTTACTAGAACCACAAAGCCCTTGGGCTGTTCCATGTAAATTTCTTCCTCCAATTTTCCATTCAAAAAAAAAATATTTTCACATCCATTTTGACGAATTTGAAGGCCATATTTCACAACTAGCGCAATTAACATCTGAATTGATGTAATCCTAGTTAGTGCTATTATCTAGTCAAACAAGGCTTTCTTATTGTCTAAAGCTTATGACAACAAGTCTGTCTTTGTATTTGTCAATAGTTTCATCAACTTTCTTTTCCTATTTTTAGATCTACTTTGAACTCAAAAGTTTATTTCTTGGAGGAAGATCAACCAACTCTCAAGTATGATTGCTCAAGATTGAATCTATCTTACCACTGACAGTCTTTTCTCAAAGAGAATGAGTCCACAAATGACATAACTTTTAGAATATATGAGACTCATTTTCAATAAGAAATGTTATAAAATCAAACTCGTAGGAAGTAATTTGTCCATTCACATTTACTATGCCTCTGAATCTCTTTATTAAGTACATTCTCCTTTGGTTCTTTCCAAGGTCGTTTAGACCCTTCACTTGACTATCCGATAGTTTGGATTTATAAACCATAAATCAACATGCTTTACTATTTGTAGCATATCCAATGAACATACAATCCACAGTCTTAGGTCATATTTTGAACCTTTTGGGAATAGTTCCCTCATTTCCATTTCCCATATGGAATAAACTGTATTGGAAATTGTTAGATCACTATAATTCCAGAGTTATTGCCTGTATATACTTTAAGGGAGAACAAACAATTCTCTATCAGGATACAATAAAGCCTAAACAAACACAACTTTTTGTTGCTCCCTTTCTTAACAAACAAAAGTTTTTTTTTTAATTTGTTACTCCCTTTACTAACAAACAAAACTTTTTGTTTCTCTTTTTCTGAACAGACAAACTTTTTGTTGTTCTCTTTTGCTATAATGATAGCACCACCCAGAAATTTTATGGTAAACTTGAACTTATAAATAGGACATTTAACATTTCCTTCAAAGTTCGGTTTTTTCCTGTCAACAATTTCATTAGATTGAGGTGAGAATGTTCAGTAATTGGATGGATGATACCATTTTCCAAATATATTTCTACAAAAGAAGATTCATATTCTCCATATCTACCACTTCTAATCATGACAATTTTATTTTTTTAATCCAATTGATTTTCAACTTCAGTTTTATATTGCCTATATGTTTCTATTGCTTCATCATTACCATTCAGCAAATAAACATAACAATATCTAGTGCAAATGTCAATAAAATTTATGAAACACTTTTTCCCACCACGAGATGGTGTTGACTTCATATCACAAATGTCAGTGTAAATCAATTCTAAGGTATTAAAATTCCTTTTAACAACACATACTTGACATTTTGATTTATTGAACTAGAAGTTAGGCAAAACTTCCAAGTTGATAAGTTTTTTTTTCAAGGTTTTGTAATTGACATGTCCCAAGCATTTATGTTACAAACAATTTGATTCAAGCAAGTAAGAACAAACAAAAATACTAAATTTAAAAAGACCTTCTGTGAGGTAACATTTTCCCACAAATATTTTGTTCTTTACTTTTTATAACTTTCTCAAATACAGACATTGTTTTAGAGTCAACACCTTGCCATATGTTCTTTTCAGAAGGACCTTTCCATAACATTCAATTTGTTATAGAATTACCCATGATCATAGTCTCATCGGTCCAATAAGCGCAATATGACCCAAATGTTTGTTTTACAACACAAACATAACAAATTATTTTTCACCAATGTTCATGTCTATACAAAAAAATAAATTATTTTAATAGACATATCTTTTCATGAAAAATCACAATATTTAAAGTGAAACTTTTTCATCAAAGAATACAATTCTTTTCAATGAGTAATATAATTTTGTGGTTTTATACTAGTCATATCATGTACTAGTAAAGAGAGACTCACAAACCACAATATGAAATATACTTCAAGAATTTTGTGGGCCTAACACAGTACAAGATTGCCATTAAATTTCATATCTTGTACTTTCAAATTTAAATTAGATAGTAAGTCTAATTTTGTCTTTATCACAAATAAAGAACG